ATCTTTATAATTGTATGCTGTTTTTTCAAGCATATGAAGAGATATTAACAGTCCCATAATCATACATTACTTCAGTCCAAAGCATGTAATTAGCCTCCTCCAAGGGCTAAGAGTTTTTTTGAGACTTTATAATTTATTTTGAACAGGTTGTTTGGGGAATGTAAGGTATGATATGGGAAAAATAGTGTACTGGAGATCCAGTTTGTTTACTAGGAAAAATACTTGGAGAACTTGTAGATTTAAAATATGCCTATTGGGCCAGGGAGATGGCTCCGTGGAATAAGCACTTCCCTGGCAAGCACAAGGGCCTGAGTTCTAATCCCCAGTTCTGCCAAGAATAAAATAAAATATGCCTAATCAAGTTGATTTGTTTGTTGAAATAAACCTAAACTAAGTACCTAATAGGCCAATACTTAAAAAAAACCAATTTTGATGTCATGCTGTTACTGTAGAAACATAGTTACTGCAAATAATAAAAGTCATTCTGAGCTTTGTCAGGACATTATAATTTCCTAGCTCTTTGTAGCATCCATTTAAGGGATAAAATAAGAGGTTGCTAAGTAAACCTTAAACAAATGAGAATTTAGATTAAATTGTTCTAAAATCAAGATGAGCTTCAACTAAGAAGGAAAATTTCTAAAGGAGAAGATTGTCTGATCCCAACTTAAAAATACTGAAGTAGTGATGATGGATTTAACCCAGAAATAATAGAAAAGATATTTTGGGAGAGGAAAACATTTTGAATTTGTTTTAAAACAGGATGTTGTGTATCTGTTAAGGTATGAGTATGTGTTATCTACTATGCTGCCCTCTTAGGTAAAAGATCCCAGGTTGATGTGAGGTTTTATCTTGGGGTGTAGCAGTGGAGGACAGAGATGTAAGCCTCTCACTGGTATGTTTTAGTTAATCTTTTGACCATGAGAAGTGCATTTTACATTATGGTACCATATTTGTACATGGTTATATGTAGCTTTAAAATTTTCCTAAACAATCCTTGCATATTTACTATATATGATGGGCTTAATTGGCCTTGGAGAGGTTATATCTTTAGAAAGGTGCTGTTAACATCATTAGCACATACATACACCTTTTTTTTTTTTTTTTTTTTTTTTCCTTTGTGGTACTGAGAAATGAATCCAGGGGCTCTTGCATGCTAAACACTCTATCACTGGAAGACATTTCCAGCCTTGCATTTTCTTTGTTTTAATTGAATAAGATGAACCTGTAGGTTTTTTTTTAAACAGATATTATTATAAGGGTTTTAGAAATACTAACTATATGATGTAAATACTATTGTCCTCACTTTATGATGAGGAAACTGAAGCATGTAGAGGCTAAGTTACTTCTTGCTCCAAATCATACAGTTAATGAATAATGGAGACTCTATTTGAATATTAGCAATTTGACTTTTACTAATGATATTATATTGTATGTTCTTACAATGATGCTTAATAATCTTGCTGCCTTATAATCAGTGTTAGAACATTTGAAATGGTCTGTGTCATTAAGCATAGCAAAAATTTAATTGCTTAGCCTATGGGTAGATCTAGAGCTGTCAATCTTATTATCATTTTGTACAACCTGTGATCTATCTCCTTTAATTACTTTTTCAATTTATTTTTAATATAAAAGTAATAACTTTCCATTTATAAAGAAGTAGCTTAATACAAAAATAGCTAATGATTTATCATAGGGCATTATATATACATACATACATACATACATATATATATATAAATATATATCTATAAATACATCTTAATTATTTTTTTTTGTGGTACTGGGGATTGAACTCAGGACCCTGTGCTTGCCAGGCAGCTGCTTACTCTACTGATCTCCCCAGCCCTATTTTAATGTTTTTATTTATTTATTTATTTATTTATTTATTTTTGGCGGAACCGGGGATTGAACTCAGGCCCTTATACTTGCCAGGCAAGCGCTTATTCTACTGAGCCATCTCCCCAGTCCCCTATTTTTATGTTTAATTTGTATTTTTTGAAGACTACAAGTAAATTTTATATGTACAAAACTACATGAGATAGTTGTAAGGTACAAATGAAATTGTGCTAAATTTCTTGGTGATATTTTACTTCATGTGTGATAAATGTGTATGTATGTTTCATGTATCTTTTTTTCCCCTATATGATGAAGGGCTTGTTACTTTATTTCCTTAGCCCTTGATCATGGCTGTTAACAGAAATTTGCTATTGTGCTACAGTGTTACATCCTTATTTGGGTTCACAACAGATCCTGCTAGTGACAGTAATAGTTATGAGCTCAGTTACTGAAGTCATACTGCCTGAGCTGAATACTAGGCTTCACTGTTTACTACCTCTGTGACCTTGGGCAAGTTACTTAACCTCGTTGTGCTTTGGTTTTCTTATCTACATACTAGGGATAAAAGTTACTGAACCTAAATTATAGGATTGTTCTGAGGATTAAATAAGTTGCTGCTTATAAAGCTGTTACAGAGCAGGCATATAACTAAGCTGAGCACTATCATTTTTTCTTTTTTGCTGTACCAAGGATTGAATCCAGGACCCTGAGCTTGCCAGGCAAGCACTTACTCTACTAAGCTATCTCCCCAGCCCCTGCACTATCATTTTGTCATCAAAAGGCTGATCAAAAAAGTGTTTAAATTTTTAAAAAATTATTACAATAAAAGATACATAGTCATTAATCCCCTATTAATCCCCTACAGAACACTCTTTTTTTGCTCTGAACATACTTATCTCATTTTTGCCAATTTATGAAGCAGTTCTAGACATTCTCTTTTATGTGTTTACCAGATATGATTTTTACAGATGTGATGAATACCATTGTTGAGTGCCATCCAACAAAAAAGCAGGCTCATTAAAACATTACATTGAGACTGCTATGACAGTGCACCTAAAGACACTCATGCAAGATCTCTAGTACTGCTTCAGAAAGTGGCAAGGATGATGGAATAAGTATCTTCAAGGCAAGGCGGGTACTTTGAGGAGTCTTAATAACAGTGTCTTGTTTGTTTGTTTGCATTTGTGGTGTTGGGGATTGAACTCAAGGCATTTGCATATAAGGCAAGACCTGTAGCACTGAGCCATAGCCCCAGCCCTGGTAATGTCTTTTAAGGTAATAAAGTCTTGAAAATATAAACATTCACCTCATACCTCATATGTACAGACTTCAGTTTTGAACTTGATAGTATATTCTATTTTATTAACTTTTTTTTATTGTTGTTGTTTTTTTTTGCGGAACTTGCATTTTATAAAGTTTAACTTGTTTTATGGTCTTATATTGGTTGGTTTTGTATAAAATAGATGAAGGCACCAGAATAGAATATATTTCATGTTTCCAGTTATGGTCTATGATTATATATCTGCTCATCTAAAGAAGCTGCTGTTGTCAATATCTATTTGCCAGCACTTTATTTTCTCTCATAAATTTCTACTCCTCAAAATTGCTTTGGAACTTCTGAATGGAGATGACTTGGAAAGAAAATATCAACAGTATCAGTATTGACCATTTAGAAGTCTGTTATTGCTGTCAATTTTAGGCTGAAAATATTTCTAGCTGAGAAAGAAGTACTTACATCAACTTTTGAAGTGTTGTATTATTGTGTGAAGGTGCTTTAAACAGATGTGTTTGCATGATAAATTTATAACAAGAGTGCTGAAATCTGTAAATACAGATTTCTAAACAGAAGGAACTGATCAAATATTCCAGAAGTTAATTTAATAACTAATACCTGGTGTAGAATAAATATTTTATAAACTCTACAACAAAATGAACAGAGGTAGTCTTAGGCCTTTCTTTCTTATATTAAACATGACTGTTGATTGCTGGAGGTTAAAGCATAACAGTGTTTTGCTTTCATTTTCAACATTGCTTCATGAGTTTTTAAGTGTGGTGTTTGGGAAACAGTACTCAATGTAATAACAGAGGTAAAGGCAGGGGGTTGGCGATACAAAGAATTACAGATATTGACCACATTCAGACTTCGAGAAAGCTTCACCATGAGTGTTACATTTGAATTAGATCTTCAAGGAAGATCAGTGCATGATGTTTCAGAGCAGTGATATTCACCAAAACTGTTTTATGGATTTCTTTTGACTGCATGATCAGTCAAACATGTTAGCACTTACAGTTAGAAGCTGTTAAGTGTGTGACTGACTGCTTTGTTCTTATTTCTTGTGCCTTCTATTTTTTTTTTTTTTTTTTTTTTTTTTGCCAGCTTATCATATGATTTTCCCAAATGCTTTCCTGCCTTATTGTCTGCTTGGGAATGATCTACTACATTTTATACCTATTGTACATTCAAATTGTAACTATCTTTCAAGGTCTTAGAACCAAATCAACCAACCCTAAAAATATCCACTCAGGAATTAACAACTTTATCTTGTTATTCCTGTATCTCACATTACAAATTTTTCCATGTAGTGTCAAATTACTTGAAGACAGTGATTGTCATTTTTTTTCTTTTTTCTACTTAACACATACACATGGTGAATCCTTTTCTATGTTATCACTGTTGTTGCATTACTGGAAATTGAACCCACAACCTCATAAATGTTAGGCAAGTGCATGTGTATACACACACACACACACACACACACACACATATACATATGCTCTTACCTTATTAGAAGATATTTA